CGTTGAGTCCACCCCTCCAGAATCCACAACTGTTGAGTCCACACCCCCAGAATCCACAACAGTTGAGTCCACACCACCTGCTTCTACTACCATGGAGTCAACTCTTCCAGAATCCACAACTGTAGAATCAACCCCTCCAGAATCTACAACAGCCGAACCAACTACAGTGGAATCAACAGAGCCACCCACAACAGTTGTTACAACTATTGAGTCCACAACAGCTGAGAGCACCACTGAACAGTCAACGGTTGTGGAATCAACCACTAACATTCCATCAACTACTCCAGATGTTGTTGAAAGCACTACTGTGGAAGTACCCAGCACCACTGGTGAGTTTCGGTAGCTGTGTTATTTCTAAAGTATTATATGTTTCTTTGAAGTGTAAAAACATTAGGATATTTTTAAAATTTTCTGATAATCTTTTGGACCGTAAATACGATGTGGGAATTTGTTAAGGAAAATAATTTTCTCTGAACAGATAACTTCATTGGCTAGGATTAAATTACCAGTATTCATTCATGGTTCCCAGTTTTTTGAGAAAAGTGCGGTAAATGAAATGGGTATTGATGAACATGGACGAAAACATTAAAAAGGATGGTGAAGTTGAAAAAGCAATCTGCTTTGAGCCTGATCAAGAGAGGGCACAAGTTTTCAGGTAATGGAGGCTACTTTGGTGGGAGCTACATTTCACTGGTTTACGAATAGCTATGAAATGCAAGCCTTTGCAGTTGCATTGCTAAAAACAAAATGAACTCTCCCCACAACATGGCTCTTTTCAACCACTGAGGGGGTGCTTCTGCTCAAGGTAAATATCATCCATCTTCCTACCGTAATTTATCCTCAAATATGTACCACAGAATGTGTTCCAGGCTACCAAAAAGTCTGCAAATGGAGTTCTTACCTGGATGGCGAAGAAGGCCAGCCTAATGACTTACCCTATGAGTTTGAGTTCATTGCTGACTTCTTGAATGACGAACGGTATGAGGGAGTCTGTGCTGAACCAGATGATATTGAGTGTGTCCTAGCTCGTGACCACAGCGTCCCAGCTGACATGACAATTCAAGATGTGCAGTGCAGCACAGACCTTGGCCTGGCTTGCTATGATGATGAAAACCAAAAATGTCTGGATTATGCCATCCGGGTTCAGTGCTGTGAGGAGAAATACACCATCTGTGGATCAACAGAAGCCCCTCCACCAACAACAGCTGAACCACCAGAATCCACCACTGTCATTGAGACAACCCCTGGATGGCCATCCACAACTCTTGCTGAATCAACCACAGTTGAGTCAACTCCTCCTCCGAGCACAACGACAGAATCCACTACTGAAGAACCACAGACTACAGGTTTGTTGATTGTTAGTCAGAAATATTAGAGGCAAAAGGGAAATAATGGGAGTGGATTTTGATATTTTTCCCTCACATTCTGTTATACATTACTTTTGTCTCACACAATGAGATGACCATTTCCAGGCACCAGTCACTGACAACTGGATTTTTTCTGTAGTTTTCAGTGCCTCTGCAATCCTTATAAGTTCCATAATTTTTATCAACAGCTCCAAATTTGTCGACCCAATGTGCGTTTGGAAAGGATCGACAAATTTCGCTCGTTGTGATTGGCCAACGCATTGCAAACTCTTGGTGGCGCACTATTGTGAATCGCACTTATTAAATCAGTTATGAAGTAATATTCAGTTTCCAGTGAAATAGAACTTTACTCCATGCGAGTGTTTACTGTTCAGATACAATTTATATTTACGCCAAGTTTCATTGTTGATTTGACCTGCCATTCCAATGGAGGCTCTGCAGAATTAAGTTCTGGACAAGAAACAGGGAAAAAAACAATGTTTAGAAAGGCAAGTGCCCGCCAGTGTCTGTATCCATCTTGTACAATCTCCTTTATCCTCTTTTCCCTTCATTAGTTTGTGTACCTCATCATGAGTTAGACTGTGAGTGGTCACCCTACTATGATGACAGTGACAGTCCCCATGGTGACTTTGAGGTCCTTGGAGATCTCTTAGAAGCCCACCCAGGAGAAATTTGCGAGAATCCAAGGGACATCGAATGTGTGCTGAGCTCAGACCACAGTGTTAGTGCCCATCAGACGGGTCAGAACTTTACCTGCCTGCCCCATGTAGGTTTCCTCTGTTTAGACTTTGCCAATAACAACCGTCAGCCCTTCAAGTGTTATGACTACAGCGTCCGCTTCCAGTGCTGTGAGAGTACCTACGTTCCATGTGGTACCACTGAAGAGGCCCCGACAACTGAGCCTGTTGTTCCAACCACGGAACCCAAACTCACCACTGAATCAGCACCCACCACTGAGGATTCTACCACTGGTAAGATACAGTTCTTGTCTTCAGTACTGTTGATTTCCTTGTCCATGGGATGTTGTCTGCTTGTCCTAAAACTCCCAACAGTCGTATTTCCTTGAAAACCACAAGTTACTCCAATCTTGAAATTTCCAGTGAATAAAACTGTACATTTTCAGGGGTTTGGAGGAATTAACTTAAGGTATTCATGCTCTTATACTACAACCAAGGCTTCAGTTCAACTTACAATCTGTGAAATTACTATCTATGGCTACATTCAAATCTAGTTGTATAGAGCTCTGAATGTAATTCAGTAAGCAGATTTACAAACCATTACTGCAGTTTTACCACACTCATGAAGGAAGGTACATTACATGTCTCCTTGACCAGTATGGTGCTGGGATTGGTCAAGTGCACGTGTGTAACGAGTGTGAGTGCTGTGCAACTGCAGTAATGGCATCTCCTTACATTAGTCTATAGGTCTATGCCTTCACTAAATCACGTTCACAGGGAAACACTGACTATACATGTACAGACAAAGTAGAAGTTTGAAAAGCCTGTGTCAAACACTGCATATGTTTTAGGACAATTTTAACCAGAAAACTGGTTCTTTGAATATAGAATGTGTAGATGTGGTGGAGAAACATTGTAAGTGGACACCTTGGTTGGATGATGAGGAGGATAAGGTTGGGTCTCTTGGGGAGTTTGAGCTCATCTCCACCTATCGGGAAGAATACGACATCTGTGACTCACCTTCCATGATTGAATGCGTGCTGAAGTCACAACCTGATGTTCACTCAAACGAAACAAAGCAGGTGTGTACTGGAAGACATTTTGATTCACTTTTTGCAATTCAGTACTTATCAGCCTTTCTAGTTTTAACCACTTCAAAGTGTTGCCACAAGCTGAAAAAAAGCTCCAAAAGTCTGCATTTATCTGAAGTGAAACTTTATTTGCAGTTGTCAATTAAATGTTGAAACATTCCTTGTCTAAAGTAGCAGTGTATATGATATTGACAAAGTCTTGGATTGGCTTTGTTGCTAATAAACGCACTGATTCTTTGTACTCGGCAGGTGGTAACCTGTAATACTGATGAAGGCTTAGTGTGTCTTCACTCTGAGCAGACCGAATTTCCTCCGTTCTGCTTCGACTACATGATCCGTGTTGAGTGTTGCCAGGATATAGTTGTCCCGTGCAATCCGCACAGCACGGCCTTTCCGACAACTAAACCGGTATCCACTACAAAAGCTGAGTCAACAACAAGACCGGTGTCCACCACTTCCATGCCCAAACCCACAACAGAAGGACCAGAACCAACAACTGAGGAAGTCCCAACTACAAAACTGGCGCGCACCACTCAACCATCAACGACTGCTGAACAAGAGTCTACCACACAACCTGAATCAACCATTCCTGTGGAATCCACTACACAACCTGAATCAACCATTCCTGTGGAATCCACTACACAACCTGAATCAACCATTCCTGTGGAATCTACTACACAACCTGAATCAACCATTCCTTTGGAATCCACTACACAACCTGAATCCACTGTTCCAGTGGAGCCCACAACAAGTGAGTTTCTGATTGATCTTTACTCACAAAAACAGCTGAGTGCTTCACTAAAACACTCGAGCAATTATAAGTTATTATGAGCTAATCACGGTTCCGCTAGTCTTAAGTCACAGAGAATTCAGATGAGTAGTGAAGAAAGTTATCTATTTTCATTGTTCATACCTTGTTACTTATTATCTAACTCATTATTGGCAAGCAACTGACAAGTGATTGACAGTGATGTGCATCTTTTGTCTGATTTTGATGGGACAAATTAATTTTGCAGGTTGTTTTCCAGGTTGTTTAATTGCTTTCTTTTTCTTTTCTTTCATTGTTGTAGAGCTAACCACTGTGGAATCCACTCCTCCACCTGAATCCACCACACGTAAGTTACTTGATACGTAATCCACATTATACAACTAGTTCTGCTGTTCAACGGCTGGAGAAGAATATTTAGAATTATCAGCAGCTTACAAAAAGGCAGTAGCAGTCCCAATGGAGATAATAGAAGAGTACACAAGGCAATGTAAATTGACATTCCTTTCTATTTAAAAAAATTGAAACTCTGATCATTACTGCTACCTTTTAACACGGAGGGACATTTTGATGATATCAGCAAGTCAGAAGCAGTCCAAACACATTTATAAATATTCTCAATCATTTATCTCATACCAGCTTGCAAGCCGATTTATGAAAAAGTCTGTGAGTGGACACCCTGGATGGATGACGATGAAGGAAAAGTTGGCCCCATCGGAGAGTTTGAGCTTGTCTCTACTTTCCGTGAAATGTACGACTTCTGCCAAGATCCAAGCCAGATAGAGTGCACCCTCAAGTCCGACCACAATGTCTTTGTCAATATGACCAAGCAGAATCTGCTGTGCAACCCTGTGCAGGGCTTGATCTGTTTCCATAACGACCAGCCACAGATTCCTCGTTGCTTTGACTACTCCATCCGTTTACTGTGCTGCAGCTACAAGAACATTGGATGTGGAACTTCACCACAGCCTCCTGTCACTACAGTCGCCCCCACAACTGAGAGTGTTCCGACATCAAGTAAGTGAACTACTCCAGAGTAAATAATCAACCCTTTGATTCCCTCCGTAACAGCACATAATCCAGTCAAATTACTGTCCACTGAACGTTGTCATACTTGAACTTGTGCATGGAACCAATTATCTCTTCAAACAACCTTTTAGGACTTCTTAGTAAATGCAAGTTGATTTAACCAATCCTGTAAAACTTGATGAGAATCTAGTCCAATCTCTCCAGAGATTACAATGCCTTGCAGAATTGAAGAAAGTTGATCCTCATTGTGCTTCTTGTTAAATGCAAAGGCATGTGAACAAAAAAGTTGCCAAATGTCTTGTGTAAAAGCATTTCTCTGATAATGTAAGTGCAGCAAGTTTCAGAGCTGTAACGTCAGCTTTCATCTTGTGTAGTAAAACTTAGTGAAGAATTTGGTTTCACAAGATAATGCAACCAACACTGTGGTGTATTTGATCAGACAGGGGATATTCCTCAGTATGCTGTCACAGGTCTCACTTCCAATCTGTCAAATTTTGCATTGGCTCTTATCAATGTCTTCTGTCTCCTATAGCTGCACCACCCCACCATAATGAGGTCTGCCAGCCCTACATGTCATCCAGACCCACCCCAATCATCAAAGATGGCTGCTCTACTGCAACCCCCGTCTTCCTTCCTCAATGCCAAGGCCGCTGTGAGTCTCACACCATCTTCAATGGCTTTGAGGCCAATGGTAATGAGTTCTGGAAAAGTACCTGCCGTTGCTGTCGCCCTAGTTCCTTTGAGACAGACTACTTTGAGCTAGTCTGCCAAGATGGTGAGGTCATGACACTGCCTGTGGAGATTGTAACAGATTGCTCCTGTAAGGAGTTTGAATGTCATTAAAATGACATACGGTAACATAAAAACATTGTGTTGAACAGAAGTATCTCTTAGAATAACGTACCAAGCCTATATGGCCCTACAAATAGGTCTTTGATATCAAAGCTAAGAGCCAAATTGGACACCTTGAAGTACCCACAATTATTCATTCAAAGCAAGGATAGATTTCTGCAGCAGGATGAGTACTGAGGCAAAAGGTGTGTAGAGATATCCATCCAAACACATGTGACCCACTAAACTGCAGGAAAAGGTCATAGAAGTCCATTTAAGTGCAATGACCCTCTCAAACTGGAAAGGTTGAAATATCTTCTGGAATTTCAATTTCTTACTTGTCAAAAAACATTGTTGATCACTAAAATTTCAGGTTTTTTTTTTTTTTTTTTTTTACTAAGCATTAGGCGGGGTCCGATTGGTTGCAAGAAAAGAAAGATTTAAGAGGAGTCTTTCAAGCCTAAGTCTCTTTTAAACTCATTTTTTTCTGTGTTGTGTGTAATTTAACTCGTTAGAACCGTTTGATGTGAAAACAATTGTATCTCTGGAACTGAATTGGCCACTGAGCTCTGACTTATGCCGAATGAAAGCTTACTGTCTAAGATTCATTTGGTATAAACTTAAAAGCCATACATTTTATTTTCATTTTTGCAATATAATGTACCTTTTCTTAGAGCGGGTCACATATTCATTCCATTGTGCTAACTCCTTCGTCAGCAAGACGTTCAATATGACCCTTTGCCAAGTTTACGAAGACTTTAAAGCACTAGTCATCATGACAAAAGGTGTTATGGTTTATTTCAAGTGTGATGATTTCCTTTTATTTTAATTGAACTTGGCAGCTTTTGATTTTAAGTTTTGTAGAACAGCACTTGAATTTTCTATATATTTTAATTAGATATTTTTGTAAAACGGTAGACAGGCAAATATAAGTTGCAAAGTTTTACAATTTTCTTTAGGCCTTTTTATCTTTTTTCGAATGCCAACTGAAGTTTCTTGAGTTTGATTTTTGCAGATTTAGAATGTCCAACAATGAAACAGAATCTTATCAGATAAGCCCTTGAGCCTTAGCACAGTTTCATTTGTTAAAGAGGTAAATTTCGAAGGGAAGCTAACATTTTCCTATCATTTCAGCTTTGTTTTTCAAGGTTTCTACTCCCCAAAATTTGTTGGTGGAAACATCACCTTTTTTAAGCTGTTTTAATTTTACTTCACCGATATTCTGCCTTAGTTCTTTCAGAAAATATTATTGTTCCTGCAGTTGTAGAAATTTGGCCTGCAAAGACTAGAAAATGTAGAGGTCCTCTTTTGTAAGTCAAACATTCCAAGTGTTAAGCTGTACACAAATCTTTGCAAAATTTTGAAATCTTGAAATTTTTAGAATCTCAAGTAATGTGCCCTTTATTTTCTATCACCAATTGGAATTATGCAGCATTTTATATCCATGGAAAGATTCTTAGTCTTCAGGGAAAAAAAGCTGAAGTCATCAGAATGTGAACTTTCACCCAAAAAGTTTTCATAGTTGCAGTAATAATTAACAATTTTGAACTAAAAGCTGGAATTAGTTTTGTTGCATACAGATGTGGTTAAACTTTAGGTACAGTCCCTCATTTGTCATTTTAGTATTATATTCCTTTGAAGCAACAAAATTACTCAAAATCTAGAGAAGGGTGCCTAAGAACAAACCTGATGAAGTATAAGCTCAATGACGACTGTAGGTAAATGTTTGCAACGTTGTACTGTCTCGTTTTCACGAAAGCACTGGGAGTGAAAACAAACGTGCATACACGTAGGTACAAAAAACGCCGGACGTGAAAGGTCGTTAATAAAATTCGTTTCTCTAGGTAACTTTTCCTAAATATTACGTGAGGAAGACAAAGGTAAAATTCCAACATTAGTGTTTCATGGGGTGGTTAAGGAATTATTCTTCCAAAAATTATCGAACGTGATAGGACGGCCCAATGTAAAATCCCCTTAGGCAGACCACGCGAGGGTTAGGGAAGTTCGCTGCGTGACCTTTTTACGTGTACTTTCAGGCCCTATTATAAAAACTACTTTGCGGGTGTCGTGTCATTGCTTGTGCTCTTTCTTATGGCAATTTTCCTGGCATCTTTCGAAATGGCCGTTTTTCGTTGCTTTCTTCAAAATGACAGCTTGCCAGAAAGAATCATTTCACAGGGAGTTTAGTCCCATAATCACAACCAAGTGTACTTTTCAACAATAGTTTCATCAGTTACGTTTTGGATAACTGCAAATGATGGAGTTACCTTTAATTCATTTTTTACTTCTATACATTTCAGCCGTTGTTATGTAGAGTGATTTGTTACACCCAGATGAAATCAATGGCAATGATTATCCAGGGTAATGCTTACACGTACAGCATACACCGTCATCAGATCCTGTAGGCCTATCCAGAAATTCCAGGTTATGCTACACATTCGTTTATATCAGTTACCTAAATTTCAATGACAATTTTTTACAACCACGTTTCCAGTGCAACCTTTCATAGGTGTTGTCAATCCTCATTTAAAATTCTTCAATTTGAAGGTGGCAGAATTTCTACCCAGAGGTTTAATTGTGTCAGGCTCTTTCCTACTTTTTGGTAATAATACTAGATTTACAAGAAAAAAACACCTGTGTACATTTAATTAATTTCTTGTCTCATAAATTGAACAGATTGAACTAACAAGTGCGTAGGGACTAGGTTCATCACCAAATCGTTCGGCAGGTAAATTATTTCGTTCGGCAGGTAAATTATTTCCCCGTTATTGGCAATGTGTTAAAGGCCAATACCAATTTTCCACATTGGAGTGCATTTTTGCTACACTAATATTTTTCTTTGTGTCATTTAAATGCATTCATATTCTATATACATGTAACTCCCCCAAATCAGTTAGAGGCCTACTTGACTTGTTTCAGTTCTGGTTTTATCAATGAATAGGTAACGGAAAACTTTTTCATTTAAAATGCCAGCCAAAAATTCACATGACACCGTCACTGGAGATCCCCAATTTCCCGAGTCAAAGATCGTTCGGTCCCAGGTCTTTCAGACCCACGAATGTTTTCTCGTCTTTAGTTCGCAACAAGTCCCAATTTATCTGAAAATTTATCACCAAATCCAAAGTGTTAGTTGCTTTTTGTAAATCTTCAATTCCAAAGATCGGGGTCGAGTCCAGGCCACAATTTTCTTGAAACTCGGGCTCGAATCCAAGAGGGCACTTTTTATTTTGAATCTCTCTCTTATTTCAAGTCTTTTAGCCCTAACCCGGCCTCCTCAATCCTTCACCTGTTGGAGGACTGAGGAGTGTTAGGGTTAAGAAGCCTATTGCTTTGGGGGCCCATATTGGTAATTCTGTCTGCCAGGCTGCCTCCTGAGCCTCCTGTATGTAAGCGTGTCGTGTCAGGTTAGAGTCCCACTCTGGATAATGGTGACCGAAAACAAGGGAAGCCTACCTAGGATAGGTCGGAGTCTCGTGACAGCTGGGCTTTTCTAAGCAAATAGATAATACTAAAAGAAGTGGAGAAACATGGAATGTCTAAACTCAAGCTAATCCCACCTCTAGTGGCTTATACACCTACGTATTTAGCCATGAGGAGGAAATAACATTTAATATGATCATTTACAAAGAGAGAGATGAAAATACCCACTCGTATGTGGGATTCGAGCCCAAGATTGCTTATAACTTTGAACATCGAGGTGCCTATCACGGGGACACCACGCTGTTCTTAACATTTTGCCAGTTAACTGAAGTCACAGTTTATGGAAATTCGTTTTTGTTTGAAAAACAAAGATCCAAACGCGTCTTATATCGGATTTATTTCGGGGGCCTCATGTTTTTAAATTTACCTTGAAAGCCAGAATGTTTCAGCAAAGTGAAATGAAAATGTCCGAAAGCTAAGGGGGAAATTTGAAAATGTTTTCAGAATTCAGAGGCGAATCTGAAGGGGTTGGGGGGTTGCAACCCCAGTTCAGCCGCGGACTAAATGGAACTACCAGTGAAATGACAAAAAATGAGTAAGCCTACCAAAAGAAAAATATATTGGACGAGGATTGTGCCGTCCATTTATCCATCTGTAGTTAGACAATTACATCGATTTCCGGTGGATCCCTTAGCAGGGCATCCCTTCAGGGTATAAAGGTCCTCCTACTATCCGAAATTTTTTTCAACACTATTTTCTTACATTTTACCTGACGAAGACAGCTCAAAATGTCGTTCACAAGTGCCTTGTATACTGAATTTTATAAATGCTTGAAACTTTATGCGTATGAATCTATAGGTCGAACAAGAAGCGAAATCGCTTCAACATAATGGCAGACAGAACTCATCCAATGTTTGCTACGCTAGAGATGGAAGTTTTGGACAACTTCCCCTTCAGCACAGTGCAAACACATTAACGGACCAATGGTCGTTTCCACCACATAATAATTTTAATTTGGGGGCCCCGATGTTCTTAAATTATTCTGTAAATCTTAATACACTCGTCATATGGGTCTGTACATAAACGTGTGTCGTTTGCATTAATGGCAAACTTTATAAAATGCACCACACTTGTACCTGCTTGATATTTTCTGTTTTTGCAAAAAAAAATGGTATTTCACCTACGTGCCTTTCCTAAATCTTTTTATTTAGCAAATTAAACTCCTCTCTCAATGGAAAAGAAGACGAGTTTGCGGCCCCCCCCCCGCAGTGCGATGGGCCAAAATAACGCCTCTCAGTTTAGGGTTAAGTTCAAACCATATTGTGCATATAATACGCTCAAATAATGAATCAAGTATGAAGGCAGTATTTCAGCTTAGGTTTATTACTCAAAGGTCTTTCGCTGAATCAGTGGCCAACATCTAACGTAAAGTTCACACTTCAAATAGAATGACCCATTTAAAAAAACGATCGTGTTATCTCTGGACATATCTTCAACCCTTAGTGAACGACGGCTTTATAAAGTCACAAGTGGGACATGTTCACCGTAAAGTGTACATCAATTTGGATGCAAATGCCACATCATTATTGCATAAAAATAATCTTCGTGTCCAGTCCAAAAAAGCCGCTCTCCTGCTTTCTGTAGATCTTACAAGGATTGATCAGAGCAAAGTGATTATCAGTAGGCCCTAAACGTTTATTGAGTCTGGTATACCGGCGTGTTGTGAGCAACTCGGACAAAATGATAGCGGTCACATTTCCTAACTTCGTTTGTAAAGAGAAAATATCTGGGCATTATATTTAGTGATAACCCGAGCAACAGACAGCGAACTAACTGTAATAGTCTCTAAAATTAATTTAGTTCATTGTACAAACGAAAACTAAGCATGCTGCAAAACTACCGGAAATTAAGTTAAAATCAACCTACACTACAGGTCAACTTCTGTGCCTTAAGTATGCCCCTCCAAGGTTCACTGGCCAACTATGAAGACGTGTGAGAAAAGCATCTTTCAAAAGCGATCTACAGCTTGACAATTGGGGTAACTTTTCAAGTTGTGACGTGCTCTACTTTGAAATATTAAAAAAGTCAGTTGTATACTGTAGAATGAGTTTTGTGCCATGCCTTGTCTCATTCGAAGGTTCACAACTACGTGCTACATGACTAAATCATCAATTTTACGATGTGAATTTTGATAGGCCACAGCTCAAAATTCACAAACTGATCATGCCTTGAGATATAAGGTAGAGACAATAACTGATACCGCGCCCTCTTGTGACATACGGGTAGTGCACTTGCCTCCACGTCATATCGTTCCCGCGCGTTTCATCTTTGCATGCAGTGTGCGCGACCCCAAAATGAATTATTCATGTTGAAGCCTAAACATGGCGAAATCTGATGATGATGTGACGGAGAAGTGGAAAATGGCCGCATCTTAACCGTTTCTGAGTTTAGGCTTAAGATTTCCGTTGTTTTCTGGCGGAGTTGGCTATCGCCGAAGCAAAAACATGTAAGTAACATTTCTGTGCATGTGAGATTTCAAGTGCTTAAGCGGTTTTGCTGGCCAGTCGCAGCAAATGTTCAGGCGGATAAAGCGCTTAATGTAATACAGTACTAGGCCATGCACAGTATGTTACGCCCCAACTATAGCATCAGTCCTAACTATAGTTGGGCCCGTCCCAACTAGAGTGCCACAGTTGGGCCGACCCAACTACAGCAGAGAAATCCTGTGTGCATGATGTGCCCAGCATGTGCCAAAGTCATATTATTTACAAATGTCATGTCATTGGTCATAGGGCTAAGAAGTTAGTGCCACATTTTTGATGAAATGTGTCAAGTGTGAGACACATTGACTTAGATAATGTTGAGACATTTCCCACATTGGTCAACAATAGTTGGGCCAGCCCAACTGCAGCACTACAGTTGGGACTTATGCTATAGTTGGGGTGTAACAGGCTATAAAGGCCTAGCCTAGTATAAACTGAAAAGACTATCGTGCAGAAAATGTATTGGGCAGGCCATGGCGGGGGCGCCGGGCAGGCATGACATGCATAGCAGCTACATGTAGCAGCAGCAGTGTTGTATCAGAGATCTTGATGTCTAAGACTGAGACAGACCTACTCTTTCAAAGTTCAAGACCAGGACTTCGAGACCGAGACTTTTGCAGGTCGAGCGTGTCGAGACCAAGAGCACAAAGATCACGACATCCGAGACCAAATATACCAATGTTTAGTTTTTACCAAAAGGTAAACAGGGACACACATGGCAGTACAATTAAGTATAAAGAAATGATACTGCTCTACTTTTACCCTGGTCTGGTCATTTTCAACCTGAGTGTCCCAAATGATATGATGTGAACATTAAAACAAATATCCTTAGGCCTAGACTATTTTTTGTAAGCAAAATACTGAAAAATAAATGTCCAAAAAAGATGTACTGTAACAAAACTACTAAAACAACACGTACCACATACAAGATGGAATGAAAGCACTTTCACACGTGCACACAATTCATAGCATGCGCACACACACAGACTGGTTCCCGTCTTGGCCATATGTTCAGCAGGAGACTACGTGGGGAACGGGAACCAGTCAAGTGAGCAAATTCCGCTACTCACAACCTCATCTCCATGGTGTCAAGCAGCATGGCTACTCTGGATCGGAAATAAAGTAACAACTCTGGACAAGGTTGCATCATGTTGCATTGACTAGTCTTTATTCCAGCATCAATTTCATTGTTTGTTGCAAAAAATCTGAACATTACTGTGCATCTAGCTACCACGCATGCACACAATTGAAAAAGGCAAAATTACCTCCGCCCGAGTCAAATCTTCAACCACTGATATAAATAATGCGCATTCTGTTATGGTTTCAACTGGTCTCGAGGGGGAGACCCGAGACTGTGGCATCCGAGACCGGCGCTTTTGAGACCAAAACCAGCCCTCCCAAGACCGAGACTTTGACAGGGCGAGACCAAGACCGCAAAAAAGGTCTCGAGATGGAGACCAGGTCTCGAGACCTACAACACTGAGCTGCAGGGGTCAGTGTAGCCCCAGATTGGGGGACAGCCAGTCGACTGGACTCCCTCCGTATCCTTGGCCCCACAACGGTCAATCCAAAAAGTGGAGACTCTAGGCATGCTAGGAAAATGCATTTTGCGTGTATGGATCACTCACCCGATGTATTTTATCCGGTTAATAAGTGACTTTGTGACAAAGGCGGATGCGCCACGATTTGCAGGCTCCCATTGGACGATTGCTGAAATTGCGTGTTAACTTCCGGTTCCATGGTTCCTTTTAAACGGCTTGTGACCATATGTGCTGTGCATGTGCAGGGGGGTGTGGTTTAAACTGAAGTGACGTCACACTTACAAACCGGATACTGGGGGTGATTTCCAGTGTAGAAGTCCGTGAAATTTTGGTTTCGATTTGGGCCATTCATTTACTACAGCGATTAATTCCTGATCATTGACTGATACCAAACACAAACAGTTGGAGTTTGTTTGGTCTGGGAACATGGTTAGAGACAGAGACGGTAATCCCAGTGCTGTTTTATCAGCGACTTTGTATCACGCGTAATGAAGCCTTGTGTGTATACGTGAATGCAATGAATCATGTTGAAAACAACAGCCGTCGGGTATTTCATCGGTGCGTGTCATCATTGTGCGGAATGCGAATTTTTTTCAACATGATCAGCACCCAATTCCAATGGTAAGGGAACAAATTTACTTCTTTGAAACAAATTATGTAAATAAGTTGTTGGTGATGTCCTCTTTCATATCAGACATGTCAGAAAAAAAAGAGAGAACAGGGCTTTTGTTTTTTGAGGAAAATGCTTGGGTTGTTGGAGGAAAAGGGTTTATGCACAGGGTGTCAAATGGTATCTGCATATGGAACTCTCTCCCAGGAATTGAATGTTTGAAAAAGAAGAATATTTTGAATTCTTTTGGACAAAAAAGGTGCTACATGTAGGTCTGTCTGGGAATCAAACCAAGGTGGGAACATTCCACATGAGCTCAGAAGATACTATCCACTAGACAGCAGACATACATGTAGCAGAACTTGTAATCTAGTACATGTAGTCGTTTAATAACCTTTATAGGCTTACTCATGTATGCGTATCAAAGAAGGTGCTGTCTACTTGTCGCTGGCTAAATACTGTTGACTCAAATTTACTTAACTAAATATCCACTGTCTTTTGTTAAATGTCATTTTTCACTTAGGAATTGTGCTTACAGTTAAGTGTTTTACATACCTGTACATGTACATGTATGAGTTTATTATGTGAATGTACATGTAATTTGCATGCATTTTGTCACCTGAAGACATGGCCTTGCTCTACATGTAGGACCTTCATGTAAATCATGAAAACAATTTTTGTCTATATCCTAATTGAATGATTTGTATTTTGTGTGTTTTTTGCACTCAAAACCCCAGTCTGCACAGATGTCAATGAACTTTTTCCCACTGATATGACAATGCTTAAAATATTCTTTGAGTTATCAGTATAATCAGTTGACTGTGATTTACCAAGAGTGATAACTGCTGTCCTGTACAGTGGTATTGAAGTCACTGTGCAAACTTGAAACTTAAATTACACGTATGTAAATGTACGGGTATCAGACAACAGTCCAAAGTTTTTCAAGTGACAGTCTTATTTCTTAGCAGATAAGGTGATGTTATAATTGTGTAACACAGAAAGTGCTGTTCATTCTCACAGTTGGCATGACATCGCTGGGTACTCTTTGTTTCTTGTCCCGGAGTGCTGGCTGTACGTGTAGCTTTTCCTTCGTGCACCTACATGTACATGTACGGTGTACTTGATTCAAAGGGTCATGAATAGTGTTGTGGTACATGTACATGGGGAGAAATCTAAACTATTGTACCAACACTACTCCTTTTCATTGAAAATACCTCAAATTTCACTATTTTATGCAGTAAAAATATCGACCATGTCATACCAAGAAATGTTAGATTTTTTATAATGAAAAAAGCAAGTAATTCCCTGTAGTTAATGACTGAAGGACTGTCCCTTTACCAGGATGCATGTACAGTAGGTTGAACTGCTTCCAACCAAGAGAATCGTGGTGCATGGGTCATCTGTGAATCATGCATGGAGGACTGTCCCTTTACCGGGGTGCAGGTGCAGTAGGTTGAACAGAGCTCTTCCAACCAAGAGAATCGTGGTGCATGGGTCATCTGTGAACCATGCATGGAGGACTCCCCCTTTACCAGGTTGCAGGTGCAGTAGGTTGAACAGAGCTCTTCCAACCAAGAGAATCGTGGTGCATGGGTCATCTGTGAACCATGCATGGAGGACTGTCCCTTTACCAGGTTGCAGCTGCAGTAGGTTGAACAGCTCTTCCAACCAAGAGAATCGTGGTGCATGGGTCACCTGTGAACATCGACAGAAAAATTGTTGTGCTATTGACAAATGCCTATACCTGTAGTATGAAATTATTAGAGCACCGGAGTTGCATTCTAGAAGTCTTAGGTTCAAGTTCTGGTGAGGTAGATCTCTGCTGATTTGTGACAGATCCATCATCATGCAAATGTTTGGTTAGTGTAACAGATGTTGAGTGCAGGAATGTACATATGAATTTACACACAAGTGTTAAGGCTGAAATCCTCTAGGTACAGTGTACATTTTATCCCTAGGTTATTCTACATACTGACGTGTACAGCATGTACAGTGTCCATATGTGCTCCCAAAATGAATGTGATTGTGTTTTTACGTGATGCTGATTGCTCACTCTACGTGCATAATTCATTAATGTAGAATATCTGCCTTTTTCTGATTGGCTGAAATTTGTGAGAAAGGAAGTCAATTAAGGCTTAGCTTACATGTACATGTACATTGTACATCAACTGTACCCCCATTGAAACTTGCTCCAACTTTAATAAGTTTCAGAATGAACTGCATACATGTACATGTACTTCAGTTACCGGTACTTGATCCAAGCAGTAACGTTTTGTGTGATTTGGTGATGGTATCATCTTTTTTATTTGTTTTACAAACTGAAACATGAGCAAGAGCAAAGGTCAGAAACATTTACAGTGTGAATGCATACTGTACATGTACACTGATGCGTTAAGTACATGTATGTACATTTGAATGTGAACACATACAAAATTGTGTACATTAGTGATGTGTGCCACCATAAATGCTGTGATTGATACCGGTACATTGTACATGTACATGTACACACATGTACCATGATACATGTGGTATCTCATCCAGTTGCAAGTGTAAATTGATTAACGTCCAAAGACTTCAAGCAGTCGCAATAATGATGTTTTGGTAAGTTAGTCTGTAATCATTTTGAAGAGCAACTCAAAGGAAAACATGTTTTCTCTGATTGTATCTGTTCCAATCAATATGGAAGCATCCAAATCCAACGCAGTGTCATTTGTCTTCAGAGCTCAACTATAACAAGCATAAAAGGGCTTTTTTCTGTTCATGCGAACTCTGAACATGCTGAATGTAGATTGCATCATTCTGAGAAAACAGAGAAACTGAGGGAAACCCTCGCCCTATGTTCATAGTGGACAAACCCTTGTGCATGCCAAACAATGGCTACTAACAATGGCTACACGCGCGGTTTGACATGCACAAGGGTTTCTCCACTACCAACACAGGGCGAGGGTTTCCCTCATTTTCTCTGTTTTCTCAAATTGACGCAATCTACATTCAGCATGTTCAGAATTCGCATCTTGGCATGAACAGAAAAAACCTTTTATGCTTGTTATAGTTGAGCTCTGAAGACAAATGACACTGCATTGGATTTGGATGCTTCCATATTTATTTGAACAGATACAATCAGAGAAAACATGTTTTCCTTTGAGTTGCTCTTAAGAAGTACATGTAACTTACATGCATTAAAACCATCTTCTTTGAAATTGTAAGAGTACTGTTGAATCTCTACTGATAAGTTTTAGATCACAATTTACTTAGCAGGCAATATCTGCTTACTGCTAAACAACCCTCTTCAACGTAGACTAGAAATAGTCTCCTTCTGGCGTCTGGACCCAGACCCAGGAGATGTGCATGTTTGGTACAGTGATTGAGGCTTTAAGCTCCATAAATGTATGTTGCAAGGTAATACTGAGCAGTAGTTCATACATATTCCACAGATAAAGACAGATTTCCTGTTGACAGAGCCCGCCAGTGCACATGATTTATAATCATTAGTAGTGCCTGTCCTGAGTTCAGTTTTACAAATTCAGAAGTTCAGCCTACATGTACATAATGCTGCAGCATACTTTGCTCACGTAGGCAAATACTGTACATGTAATGTTTGTAAATGTCCATCAAACATGTTTTTCTTCTATGGCGTATTGGTATCAGCAATGGACTTCTAAGTCTCAACTACTGTACATGCACAGTCCTGTTCATTAAAAAGCCAAATGGACAGTTAAATTTTCAGTGTATGTTGCCAAAAGTTTGGTGTCAAAATCCTGGCATGAATGTGTATCAAGCGGACATGCATTATAAACTAGTATCTGTCTAACTTTGTTAGTTATTAACACGTTATTGTGCATGTACATGTACAGTGTATGTTAAATACAGAAAATTAGATACACATGTACACAGGCCTCGTATTTCGTGTTTTTTTTTAGGGCACTGCCATTTGGCATTGGTGGACTGGCTGAAATAAAGGGCAGTAATGCTAAATATGAGGGCATTAATGCCATCAGCGTACCAAAGTTATGGGCAATGATGCCATCAGCGTACCAAAGTTATGGGCTCTGATGCCATCCCAATTTTTTTTATATCGCATGAAAATGATTCAGGTCTAAGAAAAAGTGGGATACGCATTATACCTGAGCATGTCCGTGATAAGTGCTGAACCAGCAGCCAAGTGTTGAAAGGCTTCGGCCTGTTTTGACTGCAGCCGTTCTTTCCTCGGCATTTTGCGTACCACAAAAACTGGCCAAGCCAGTAAGTTTGCACACAACAACGTACGTGAGAATTAATCAGCGTAATCCCGATCGACCGATGTCGTGTATGTACAGTTTGGATCGCACGCGGCACGTAGCATAAACTGCAAGCACTACATTGTGGTGTTAGTTAAAATACTGCCACGATCATACAATTGTCCCATGGAGCTCTCGATATACATATACCATAAACGTGTACGCGTTGATGAACACTTGTTCTAGACCAACATTATTGCATGGTACATTAAAATACTTGGCATAGGCATGCGATGTTATGTTAAGTCGTTGGATAGGCCGGCGGGTGTTGCCTGTGCCGTGCTTGCGAATATGCAGTGTGCATGGAGCAGGCCGGGCCGCTAGTGCGTGGCGGGTTGAGTGTGCGATATTCCCATGTACATGTACAGTGCACGCACGCCCTGCATATGCATGCATGCCATACATTTGGGTGGTGCGGCACGGTGTTCCGGTCGAATGTGAACGATCATAGAGCGATGTGTATGTCGCTTTCCATGCCACTTTCTGTGTACCTCACTGAACAGGGGCAGTCTATATGCACGAGTAAGGCACTACGGCGAAGAGAAAAAAAGGCACTGCCATCTTGGCGGTGAAACACACTCACATTTTGGAGGCATCACGGCCAAATGGGAGGCACCGACGGCCGTGGCCGTCGGGAAATTGGAGGTCTGATCTGCATGTACATGTATGCAGGGTTAGAGGATTGGCAGTGTGGGCTATGGATAAAGTGGACAATAGATTTCCTTTGGGTTTTCTTTTGCCAAATGTTGCTACATGTTCCGATACATGTACAACATTTAAAATGTCTTGTTCACTTGTGCACTGTACATGTTAGCCTGGTTAAGTCCCTTCATAGATGCTGTGAAGGGCTAAAACAATAACCCTAATAATTGACATGCATAACACCTGGGTACAGTATTCTGTCACTGATACTCCAGTGCCTGTTTATACACTCCAATGACATCTCAAGCAAATGATTAAGTCACAACCGCCTTGCATCAACACTAAAAACCAACTAAAATATCAACTTCATAAAAAGAGCGATAACCACCAAGTGAATTCCAGCCTATCTCCAGGCAGTGTATTCACATATTATCCCTGTGTGGTGTATAATTGCCCCCTGATCTGATTATATGGACAGGAGGCCTTCACAGCACACAGACTTCGGTCAAGGCACATTCCATTGACGTCACACTGCAGGATGAAAATTATGCACTTAAAGGGAGGAATATGAAAGGTGAAAAATCCGCACTTGTATATATTGAGTTTTTGTTTTCTTGAGTTTTTTTCTCTTTCCAATATTGATACATGCAGCTAACAACATTTATGCAAGCTTTTGGAGGAGAGTCATTTGCTCCCAAAATGGCAAAATAAGGTAGATTATAGTTTCCCCAAAAGAGGTTGCGTGGAAATGACCTCAAGATTCTTTACCAGTGGTTAGCTTCAGACTGAGGATGAGGGGGAAATATACATGTACATGTATATGCAGAGGGTTCACTGTTCAGCAAGGGTTGGCTGATTTTCACACCTTATCTCTTACCCAGTACCACATTTAGCCAATGCAGAACTTGTCGATATTGTAATTGTACATATCTTCTCCTTTTACACATGTCTCTCCCTCTTGCATTGCAATTAGATGGAAATGTCACATGTACTAATATTGTTTATTGATATTGTATTAAATCCCTCCTAATTTTTTTCATCTGCGGTGTGGATACATTGTCATTGCTGTTTCTCCTCCATTGAAGCATTGCATTCATTCTTTTTGACGTGTCAAGTGCATTGTTATTAACTTGGGATTTCAAAGAATCAGTCAGTGTTGCTACATGTACATGTACCCGGTAGTTTGTCAAGCAGCACAGAATTAATTGCTTTCTTATGCCAAAGCCCTTGTACAGATTGCTTCAATTGCGTATATCAATTGATGGTGACAGCGAAGCATAATCTTTAGTCAGCTATCCGCATCAGTGAAGCAAACCATCAGAGATAATATGACATTTGTTTCATTTCTAAAAACCGTGAAGCTTAACTGAGAATAAACCGAAATTAGTGTCTTTGTATTATTGGTACAAGTAGCACTGTGTTTATGTACATGTATGTTAGGAGAAAAACAAAACCGATCCTACTATGTTATTACTGGTACGTCAAGGTTGAATCAGAAACAGGTGATAAATTAATTGTTCTTACAAAAGATTTACTTGTAACTGTACCAGTTTCGTTTGTTCAGAATTATGCTAGAGATATCACTAATTTTTTAGTTAAAGGGGGAAATTTTGAAAATTTACCAACAACTTAATGTTCACATACTGGTATGTACCAGGGGAGTGGTAGCACATCTGTAACAACATGTATAGTAGATAGCTTCAGTTGTTCTTTTCTTTTCACCTATCTACAGGATGGAAGGTGAGTTATATGAGGTTCAGCCATCAGTCAGTTATCCTCTTCAGGATAAATACCCTTACTTTGGCGATGGAACCGGTCGCTCTGAGCCTATAACAATCCGTAACATCAAGATTCGTTCTGATAGTGACACACAGGGTGAGTGGAATGTACATGTAGTCATCGGTGGGCGTTACATGTAATACAAGGCTGTAAACATTGGCCCCATTGCTGACAGTGTTACCATTATTGCCCATGTAGTCCCAACCTTCATGTATTGTGTACATGGATCCACTCATGGCTCTCTAGGAGGTCAAATGTCAGTTTTGTGTATTAGACCATTAACCCTAACCCTGCTCCAAGCATGTTTTAAGCACCATGCTTAGTCCAACAATATCCAACAACTT